AGAGAAATGGCTGCAAGGCATATTGTAGATGGCATGAAGAATGATATTCAATCTTGAGGATGATTCTGGAACATGAACTACTGGATCAGAGTTTTTCATGCTCGAGAGGTAGCTTGGAATCAAAGCATGGAATCCAGTATCTGGTACAGCAAGGAGCACATGGGAGTGGACATGAAATAGAACTGAATCAGAGGTGAAAAGAACAATGTCAGGACTGCCATGATGACTGTGCCACCTTGCAGACAGGCAGAATATAGTTGAAACTTCAGTGCAGGTAGAGGCCAGCATAGGATCCTCTTGTTCATTTGTCTTGGATACCAAAAGGAATAATGAGGTGATGTGAATTCCAAAGCTATATTGAAAACACACTGGCAAAGTCAAAACTTGTGAGAAAGGCATCAAAGCAGGTTGTGAATGTGAACTGTAGTCCTCTTCGTACTACAGGAAGAATGAGGGATGCAAATTTGAGGATTATGCAAACCACACACAGGAGAGGTCAAAACTTGTGAGAAAGGCATCAAAGTAGGCTTTAAAAACATATTGTAGTCCTCATTCAACTATTGAGAGAATGAAGATACAATTCTAAGTATCGTGATGATGACGCACCGGAGGGCTCAAATTTTGTGAGAAAGGCATCGAAGGAAACTTCGGATGTGAGTCATGGTCCTCTTGGAGCTATGGCAAGAATGAGGAATATGCAAATATACGGATTGTAAGAGCGACACACTTGAGTCAAAACTTGTGGAAAGGGCGTTGAAGAAAACTCCGAAACTGCCTCTGAGTCGGGCCACTGAACCATCGAGTTCCAGTGGAAAGGTTCCGTCATCGAAAACTTCCGAATCTGTGGCGATACGCCCAAACGAAATTCGAGGAATGAGCTACGAGTACAAGTCGCAATGGGAAAGAAAGAACGTCGAGAGAAAGATGGGGATGTGCCCGGGATGTGCCGAGGCTATGTTGGGATATGTGTAATAATCATACCCCACTGAGAACTGCACGAGGCATTACTATTAAAATCAATGGCCGAGGTGCATGTGGTTCGCAATCAGTACTTTAGTATACACGGAGAACTCAAGATATCGTACTCTATTCATTGCATTGGCCCTGTTCTACTGCAATGCATCGTTGAACTCATAAGAAGGAATACAAAGCACCTCCTGGACTTGATGAACACTTCTGCTACCCCCGATTATACTTTCGGAATGTTGCTCAACGTTATCAACACCTTTCTGACAGCTCAATCCTGGCACCATAACTTCGGAAGATGAATACGCTTGTCTGTCTAATTTGCGGATCCGCGACATGTGTCATTAAGTCCAAGCAAGGTAAATACTTGAATCTTGAACGGCAGCACAGTAGACAAAATTATTTGACGTCACCTAATGGAATCCTGCTGCTAGCATTCCGGCCACGACGGTGGCTACCAGAAAGGAAAACAGATCCGCCCATTGCGCAAAGATCGACGGTTTGACTGCATGAGAGACTGCATGGTGGTGGAAAATTCGACAGAAGTTCGAGACTCGGCTTTGTGTCGATGGACTCTTCATAGATAGAACGATCTCACGCAAACAACTTTCGAGGTGACAAAATTCCAGGAAGCAATCTCCATGAAGTGGACAGAGAAACATTACTTCGTAAAACACTAGTTGTGTTCGATCGTTCCACTTCAGTTACGATTGAGGCACATAAGTGGATCTTGACATTTTTTCATAAAGAAGCGTATGTCCACTAGTGTCCAACAATTGGGATTCATATTTTCGGATATTCAATTTGTATGCACGGCGTAAATGTAGTACGATAGAAAGGTCAGTCAATAAACACAAGAAAAACAACAAAGATCCCAGAAGCACTCACTACTACTGATGGATAAAGCAGACCAAAGGCATCAGAGACAAGTTCCACCGCTTCGATTTCAGAGAGTCCACTATTTAAGTGTCCAGGCAGTTCATGAATATCTATCGATATCACAGAGCATTGTATCTGGCCGCTAGAAAATGAACCCATAATGACTGACAATTAGTCTGGAAAAAAGATGAACCGATAAGTGGTACGTACGATGGGAGAACTGCAAAACTCATACGTATTGACATGTACATGCTCTAGCGTCATGTCACCTATTGAACTCTACGGAACAACTCTGGTACAACTCATGATCAAAAGAACGACTTGAAATAGAAGTTTTGAGCATATGGCTTGGAAGAACGCCTACTTAAAATGCCCTTGGTATTGGTAAGACGCTGGAATGAATGTTAAAGATCGTGAGGTCGAGAAGGAAAACAAAAAAATGGTGTGAGAGATTCCGGTGCACTCATCGAATGTCTGCCGGCTGCCCTTTTTCGGAGAATGTCAGCCTTCTACCTCGCGACCCTCTTCGGCCAAGCAAGCAGGGCAAAAGGAGGGCAAAAGAAGGCCTAGCTAGGAGGCCAAGACCGGAAGACCCTGGAAGCTGCCGTGGCGAGTCAGGCTATGGTATCTAGAAATACAGCTTCAAAATAATATTGACTATCCAATGTGCTCAATGATTGCAGTCGATGAATGATAATTTTTGACAGAATGAAATCAAGAATTGAAAGAGATTACATACACAACGCATTCGGTTTTTACACCGAAAGTGGTAAATTGCGCATGTGACTTAGCTCCCGCCCGGCGGTGCCCTTTAGCGCCATGTCTGCGCCAATTTTTATGATATTTTCACAACACAACACACAAGAATCTTCATGGATTTCTTCCTGCAACACCTACATTCTGCCTGGATGATGGACTTACCTGGCTATTACTCACGAGGACTCCGACTCAATTACCTCCAAGCTCGATGCTGCCGATACCTCCCATTCCAAGACAAGCTTGACTGTTCCTTGAGGGGCAATATCATACAACAACCAATTCATCTTGCCGTCACTCCCCAACTCCGAGCCAGTATAGGCAGATTTCACACCGTCGGCTGCTTTTCCAGCTCTGTCCATCCCTGTCCCTGTTCCCACAACCACGGTAGACTTGCTACTCTCCGCAGTGACACTGATAAAGTTCGTATCATCAAAGTTGTTGGCGTTTTCGTTTGGAGAAGAGGAATGGAGATGCTCCATGTCAGTTTCCGCACCATCCCATTGTGCAACGATACGCATTACAGGTGTTTGTCGGCTCGTCGCAGGTGCTTGGGGTGTCTGAACAGTTGAGGGATTGGAGACGGAGACGGCCTTTTCGCCGCCTACACTTGATCCTAGTCCGGATTGCGACGAAGGGGAAATGCCGGAAAACCCGTCTTGAGACTTTCGAGCGCTGAAAGGTATCCTCATTGATGAAAATCGTTTCCCGATTGTCGAGCCAGTTTTAGAAGAGACAAGGGAGCTAGCTTCGTCAACCTTCATCGAATCTGGGCCTTTGATGGTTGCAGTCCCAGGTAGAATAGCCTCATTTTGAACTCGACTATGACTCTGACCCCTGCCTATCTTCCCATCGAAGATCATTGCAAGTTTGCTCTGCTCCAACTCCGTAGGCGTCAAGACTTTGACCTTGATCCTCTCATCTTCGCTCACCGGTACGCGATCGAGAATCTTCATCGCGTCGATGCTGCCGCGTTTAGTGTTCACCACTGTGATGCGCTGAGAGTAGAGAGTCGTGGTAGTTTTAGTGGTACCAAAGGTACTAAGGCTGTTGATGCCAGTGAACCCAGTGAACGGAGTACGGTGTGTAATTTTCGAGGAGAGAGGGTGGTAGGTTATTTTGACGGACGAGTCAAGGCTGATATGCACATAAACGTCAAAGTGGTAATTGGACAGAGAGGTATAAAAAAACTCACCCTAGACTGCAGTCAAATGTTTCATCAGGCCCAGAAGCAGGAACATCAGTACGAGCGATGAAGGTTCCGTCGACGTAAACGCTCGCTTTTCCTGGTATCAGTGCGTATTCAGAAACATTCTTAATTTTGGCCTAAAGAAGTCGTCGCGTCAGTAAAAACCCAGGTTTTACTTCCACGGGCACGCACATTGAGATGAACCCTCGTATCAATCTTTGGTACCGCAAACCACTGTAGCTTCGTGTTCAGCTCCTCTTTCAGCTCAACAACGGTAACATTGTGCGCCATACCATCAGATGGAACATTGATAAGCCCCGGTATCTGGAAAACGGAATGATTGAATCGACCGTCGCCTTTCGAGGTTACAGTCAAGCCGAGAGTGTTAAGCGCCCTGGGCGCAGGCGTAGGGACTGAAATGACTACCGGTGGTGGAGTTCGACTACGCCTGCTTCGACTCGAGCTGGAACTTCTTCGCCTCTGACCACGGTAATTTTCAGGCGAGTAGCTTCTGTCTCTGCTCCCTCGACGCCTAGGTCTTCCACTTCCACTATGTGAATGAGAGTATCGTGCCGACATCACTCCCGGAGCAGGGATGATCGACATCGGTTGTACAACGCGGTACGGCTTTCTGTAAGTGGAAAGTTTCAGAGGATTAAGGGTAGGAATCAGAACACCGTATGAAGGGGTAGTGGTTTCGAGCGTCAAGGGGACATTAGTCCAATCCTGTAGAAGGGCAATGAGTCGCGACCATGTAGTAATGTTCATAGGTTTACTTGCCTCGCCTGTATTTTGGACGATTGCTGCCTTATAGACCAACGTTAAAGGGTGATCCTTTGATTCTACATTGACTCTGATATCGTATATGGCTTCCCAGTTCGCGGAGAACACGGCTACATGGACGATAAGTCAAAGACGAAGATCGTTTGTGACGTTGAGCAAGATTACCATAAACGAGTTGCAGTTCAATTTGTCCTTCATTCTCAGCGAACAAACCCACTGATACCTGCATGCCAAGTGTACCACCACCGGACTGACACAATTGCTCCGCTGCAATTCTATCCTTCTGCGTCTGAATTTCTTTGTACACTTCATCTTCTTCGTTTTTCAATCTCGCTAGTTCCTCATCAAGTTTACTCCCGTGCAAGTTGTAGCTCTCCAAAAACAAGCCAACCTGGCTCAGGGGAACATCATGAACAGACATAGAGCCCATGTATGCTTCCAAGGCACGAGAAGAAGTCCTAGCTCGGTGTATGGCATTTCGTATAAGGTCTTTTCTGGCAAGAAGTTCTGGTAGGGTAGGTGATGTGGTGATTTGAGCCTGAGCAGGCATTGTTGATAGCGAAACATCGTGAATAGTAGCATCCCCGTGTCCCTGTACTCTGTGGTACAGCTTCAGCATTAAGCTTCGTGACTGCCCGAAATTGGACGTAAAATGTATACCTCAACGACTCTTGTTCGATAACATTTGGCAGTCCAGTGATATACAACTGATTCTGGCCCGTTTGAACGTTGAATTTGAACTGTCGACAGATCTCTGCGCGACCAGTGTACAAGTTGACATGATGTAATTTGCTGTCCTTCAGAGAGACGAGTGAAATGGTGTTTGTAGTATGATCTAGTGGTGGAGGGGTTGCCATGAGGGAAAAGCTGTAGAATTATTCAGTTCAGTCACTCTTTTATGTATTTACACAGAGATGAACAATACCCTTCCGGAAGGAATAGCCGCTGTCAATTGACGTCCATCCCCGTCGAGCAAAGCTGAGGCGTCTATTGCCATGATATGCTTGGAAGAGAAGCTCAACTGGCCGTGGGGGTCCCGGCCGGTCCCTAGACAGGAACGCCGGGTCCGGGGTCGCTCCCCATGACTTGCGCAACTACTAATAACACTCGTGTCTATCTATCTATCTCGTGGCTGCAGCATGTCCGAGTCCTTTCTAATTCTCGTTTGATTCATAAAATTATAGTCGTTGATCTTCTGATGCCCGTGGTTCACTCTGGCTCACTCCGAGAGATGATTGCACTCATTATCATTCTTTCGAGATCCAGGGTTCTTTACTATTATTATTGTTCAAGCTCAAGCTCCAAAGTACGAAGCGTTCGACGTGACTTGTGTCAATCTTCATTCATCCGTTTCCACTCTTCTTCTAAAATGCCCATATAAATCATATCTTCCCAATGACCATCGATCCAATTCACCTTTCGTTTCCTTCCTTCTTCGACGAACCCGCTGGATATCGTAAGGATCAAATTTATGAGTAGTTCAGTGATGATTCAATAATAGCTCACACTTTCTTATACAAATTCACCGCTCGCTTGTTCCCATTAAACACCATCAGGCTCACTCGATGCAGGCCCAGAGTATGAAAGCAATAGTCCACTACAAACCGCGTTACTTCTTCTCCGTATCCACGGCCCCAAAATTTTGGTTCTAGCATGATTGCAAAGATCCCATCGCGGTTCTTTGGATGGCTCATGGTTATTGACGTGGTCCCAACGAACTGACCGACTTCTGTATCCACTGCCTGCTTCAAGTCGTGGATAGTGTCGCTGCTGCTGCTGCCGCCGCCCCTTTCCCGCGTCTCAATGGTCAAGAACATTACAGCATCGTCAACAGAAGCTGCAACCTTGTCCATGAATTTAGGCCCTTGAGGGACAATGTACTCGTTAGATATCGTCGGTAAGACGTCTGCATTATTCCAAAGGTCCAAGATATGGCGCGCATCTGAGAGTTCAAATCCACGGAGGTGTAACCGATCCGTGATGAACATGGTTGGACAGATAAATAGGGCCGAGATCTAAAATATTTCGACTGAGAGTCAAGTAGTTTTATCCTCAAGTCGAACCCCATGTGTATCCTACAGAACATATTATCAGAGCCTTTGAGATTAGCACTTGCGTTTACTTTGTCTTACAAATTTTTCGACCCCTCTGCGGCGCAGGGCCAACTCCTTGATAATTGCGGGTGCGCAGGTGCAACGGGAAACGGGATCAGGCTGCGATCGCTATAGTCCCAGGTGCTCCCGCAACGTATCAAAGCCGCTTTGACTGAGGAACTTAGGACTACGATGCCGTAAAAGTGACCTTGAAAATAAACGCTGCGCAAGAGAATTTATTTAATCCTTGTGCTCTGCGCAGAGTGCTTACATGTATATACAAGAGTGTATTCATCTATGTCCTCAAATGACTAAGGTTACATGTAACCCGGATGAACCAGATTGTAAGTATGATATGATAGGATAGTTGAATTATACTGTATACACATGAAATATAGCCTTGATGAGCTTGATGCACTGCAGTACCGAATACACAGCTTCTTGAGGATTAAGCTTGGCATTTCTTTAGTAGAGTCATTCGCTGAGTCCACGTGTGAGTTAATTGCGGACGACAGCATGTGAGTATACCGGGAGCGTACATACCCAGAGTGAACCCTCAACTACCCACAATTGAAACCTTGCTTCGATGATCAACCCGACAGAGTCAGAAATTATTTGACTCAGGATAGCAAACTAATAGGGTCGTGTTGTGTCCCAATCTTACTCTCGACGTCTTTACTTTCCCATTGCGATTCGTACTCGTCGTTCATTCGTTTGGGCGTATTGCCACAGATTCGGAAGTTGTCGATGACGGAACCTTGCCACCACTTTACTGTGTCGCTCGTCGGCGCTTAAGAACCGCATTAGGCATTTCGGAGAATCAGATGCAAAAACGTCTGCAGACAGAATATAGAATATATACCCTAACTCTTAAGAAACTTGAAAGACCAAAATTAAGATAACAAATAAAGTAGAGATCAGCAGACAAAAAAACTATGCTACAGCGTGGATAATCAAAGAAATAATGTTACGAACGAGATAAAGAATACAGTAGTCGCTGGTTTAAACACATACGAAACACATACGAACCAGGAGACAAAAGCGTTCGATATATGTATTTGGTATGTTGAACTAGTCTATGACCGTTGTGTCGACGTTAAGCCATTGATTAGATGCCAAAGACTTGATAGTCATAGGGTACAGCAGCACCCCAGAAAGAAGGATCGCAAGAGCCAGCAGCAACCTCGCCAGAGCCTCCGAGGTTGAGTGCATGCACGTCGGAAGAAGTAGCTTCTGTCCAAGGAGGGTATGCCGGAACATTGGGGCTTCCGGTGAGCATGAACGCCTTGTAGCGCGCTTGCATTTCTTTAGTGAGGGCAGATTGAGCGGCATTGGGATTGGGTACAGTTCCGAACTGGGGACAAGGAAATTAACGACGTTAAGTTTGAAGTATAATAAATACAGATATAAGGCGCCAGCTTACCACTATCTCAATATCATCCTGGTGGCATACTGCACCAGGTTCGGTACAGAACGGAACTTCTTCATTTCCAGGATATGTAGCCCCGACACTGTACCTTCCCACGTACGCAGAACCACCGTTGGAAATCCAGTTACGTGCAAAAGTCCAACTGGGACATCTCCAGACGTAGTCGGTACCCAACAGCTGCAGCTGTTGCCGAGCGTCTTCTGATCCATCTACTGAGGCAGGTTTATAGAACGAGGCATTGGCCACTGCAGCCGCACGGGAATCACCAAGGCTAGCTTGGCATATAGGAAGAAATTCGTCCTCGGGAAGCGCTGATGAGAACTCAGATCCAATGGTAAGAGCGGCTTCGTCCAACACAGTGGAAACAAGTATAGGCTTTTTCACGGATGGAAATGCAGCAGTGGAGTCCAATGGCGATGTGATGAGAGTACCGTCATTCACAGGTCTCAGAGGTTCTCCAGCACCGGCTGATGCATCGAGGTTGGATGCTTCATTGAAGAGAGTTCCTTGAGCGTTAAGAATTGTGTCAACCGATAGTGCGTTCTGGCATGCGGAATCTGAGGCGGAACAATTAATGAGACTATTGTAGGCGCTTTGTAAAGTTCGCTGCGTAGAAGAACTCTGGAATCCATAGTCCTGAAACAAGCTTATGAGCATTGGGAAGAACAAATACATGGAGAAAACTAACCATCGGATCGGACTGTAAAATCGCAGATTGGAAAAGATGGGACGCGGAGGGGACAGCGAGAAGCGAACGAATCATAGTTGCACCACTGCTCTGCCCAGCAATAGTCACGCGAGAATTATCACCTCCGAATGCAGCAATATTCCGGTTGACAAAAGTCAACGCATTGATCACATCTTTAAGAGCAAGATTTGTTGAGCCGTCAGGCACCATGAGACCAAGCTGAAAAGATATTCAGATCGGAAAGGACACAATTCTCAAATAAACCTACAGCTCCTAGTCTATATTGAATGACAACAACAATCGATTGGGTAGCCAGCGCAAGATTTGAACCATCGAGTCCAGCGTCGGTGGCAGAACCTTCGATGAACGATCCTCCATGAACCCTAAGAACCGATGTTAGCCAAATGGGAGAGTCTCAAGAACGGTGATCGATTCACCACATGAAAACCGGCACCGAGCTCGAGGGACTAAACGATTCGGGAACATAGATCAACATTGACAGGCAGTCCTCTGAAAATGTCGAGTCATCAACCCCTTGTTGAGGACAAACTAATGGAAGACCGGAAGCATTAGTAGCACCATTACTATGAATCGATATTAGGATCCCTTCAATCCTGAATGAAACCCAAGCTCACGGTAGTGCCCAAATTGTGGATACCTGTGACTCTGCCCATCTCGCCGCCGAAGCATACCTTACGGCGAAACGATTCACACCAGACAGATCCACAGCACCTTCCGCGGTGCCAGCGGGAGTCGAAACGGACACAGCGCTGCTCGATGATTGTCTTGGACATAGACCGTTGGCGATCAGGCGAACAATTGAAAGTTTACATAGAATCGCCCAAGGATCATCGGATGGACTTTTGAAGGCAGTACTGACGATACTTGCGGGTGCTCCGAGCGTAGAGGAGACGAGAAGAAGAAGTGTCGTCAACAGGGAAGGGAGCATGACTATGCTATGTCGTACGAGCTCGTCAATCGGAAGGGCGCGAAGAGCTTAAATTTCCGGACACCAAGAGGGTGATGAAACTCAAAAGGTAACTTTGGAGTCGCTTTATAGATGCTGACGTGCCTAGTTCTGCCTAGTTCCTGTAGGAGTAGAAGAGACAGGCACTTTACGACCAAGAATCTGACTGTTAATGGGAGAAACCATGTGAGGAAAACTGGACAAAGCGATTCGAAGTTACGAAACTTTGCGCGTTATTTGCTTTAGTTTGGCATTTCCCTTGTTCTGTTTATGGAAATCATTCTTCTCTTCACCGTCTTCCACCCGCACACTGTACGAAAACAGAAGAAATCAGATCTCGAGCACCTGGTGCATACATATATATAAATGTCCGAAGCTGATCAACGTGGATTTCAGTGCCTAGTGGTTAAATTAATCCTGGACTCGGGAAGGCTCTGACTATCTCTGACTTGGTCGACGTCAACATCCGACAGGGATACACAGGAATACTGGAGTCACTGTCAGTCCTACATCCTACAAAATTCTACACCCCTTCTCTCGTAGCTTCGATGGACCTCCGATACGGTCACACGTTGGGCGTCTAAATGTCCGATAATCTAGTGCCAATTGCTGATCAGTTTTTCATTGTACCTCAAAGCTTCGAGTGACTGGGCTGCAAAGCCCAATTTAGGCACCCTTATCTTCTCTCTCTCATTTGATTTGACAGTTGTTCCATACTATGACAATGACTGTTGTCGGCCTCCAGCTGCAGGCACAATACTATACAGCTTTGTGACGAGTCCCTCTGGGATATAAGAGCCTACTAATACACAGGCCTGGACAACGACGGAAAAGATTCTTCTAGGGACATTGACTGACCAGTCATGAATTGGTATCTGTCGGTATTGAGTTTCGAATTCATCATTAGGACTAACCATCTAAGGCTCCTTGTTAAGCAAACAAGCAAAATCCTCCCACATAGCAGTTTGGAAAAGCAGGTGGTCGTAATTACCGATGTTTCTGGGAGTCACTGCATCAGAATGAGATCGACCGAGGAATTCTCAGAATCTTGACTGATTGAGCATTGAGCTGATTCTAAACTACAACCAGATAGTGATGTACAAGCAGGTAGAGACGTATGTCTTACGCAAAAATCTCATGAAACTTCTCTCCAAAGTTTCTGGTAATTCGATCGAAAATTTCATATACTTTCCAATCACCCGGCGACGTTTTTGGTGGTCGCTTGAATCCCTCAATTCCATCCTCCTCTTCATTTTCCTCATCCTCCTCCTCGGCTTCTAAGTCCAACAGCTCATTTACATCTTTAATTTCCCTACATCGAGCCAAGGACAACTGAATTAACAGCTCCTGCAAACTCGTTCGAATAGTCTTCAAGGTTAAATCAAATTCCTGCAGTTCATACCACACATCACCCCTTCTAATCCCATTTGCTTCCGCCAAGGCGGACACCTGCCCGTGAGAATAGAAGTCAAGGATGTATGCGTTCAGCTTGTGCTCCGGTTGCATTGACTCATGTAGGGCACTGTGATCAACGAATCCCTGCATAGAAGGGATGGCATGTTCGTGGAGATGGATCCCTTTGCGCACAGTACTGACAAGATCATAAATACTGGTAAAATGATCGTCAAGTCCGGAAGTTGCAGCGAAAATGGAGCGGGCAATGGGTGTGATCTTCGTGCTATCAAGATAGTCAATAAAAGGTGACTCGATGCGTACAGTATTAGCAGTAGGACCGCTAAGAGGAAGAGTATCATCGACACCCAATGATGATTGATGCTCGACTGCATAGCTCAGTGCGTAGGACGAGAACATCCTGAGGATGTCATCATTGTGGCCCTGGAGCTTGGCGCCGATTTCAGAAGGTAAGGGGGGAAGTATTATTTGAGATGGATACTTCGTCCTGAGTCTTGCAATTACTTCCGGTCGGCTGTAATTTCGAGGGATATATCGCCGTCCGAACAAATGGCAAAGAAGAAGTAATAAATCCATCTCAGCGTTGACGGAGCTGGACTGTTCGCAAATTTTGTGGATGATACCACTTTCAAAGATATACACAAGAGCAAAGTTCGATGGTTCAGTGTGCTATAAGGCAAGTTTCAGCAAGATAGAAAGATATGTACATATTTTCCGTCCTTACATAGAGATGGGAAGAGATTCCAAACAGATTTGTGGGTTTCCCTTCATGATTCAAGAGCCCCGCGCGCCTCAAGTATTCAATTGAGAACCGTACATGATGAAGAACTTGATCCTTCCCCATAACGGAACGGTGGGAAATTCGCGGGAGATTCATGACACTTTCGACGGACCGGACAGCGAAGTCTGCGTAGTTTGATCCTTGAAGCAAGTTAAAGAGTCGCAAGATGAAAGTTGACGTGAGGGGGAATGAGTCTCCGAGCGCTGGTAGTCGGGAGAGAACGAGACGCTGTACTCGCGAGTATGGGAGACCAAAGAAAACTACATTTCCAAGGAGGTCGAACCCTCGCCGGCCAGCACGGCCAGCACACTGTCGGTACTGAAGCAGAACATGAGATATCTATTGTAACGACAGTGACTTCAGCGTACCATCAAAGCGGTCAAAAATGGGGAATCACCGCAAAAGACACTGGTTCGTGCAGGAGCATTGATTCCAAGAGCGAGAGTTCCTACAAAAAAAAAAGGATTTGGATTGATTGCATAAATGAACAATCCGAGAAGCGTACCGGTGGAGATCATGACGCGAATAAAACCTTGGCGAAAGAGGCTATTTATCGATTTATAACGGAAAATAAAGTAAAAAAGGAATGAAACTGACTTTTCAATCACTACGCGATAAGCCTTGGACATGCCAGCATGATGGACTGCAATACCGCGGCGAAGCGCATTGATAGCCCAATCAGGTGTATTTAACCATGGTCCAGAAAGATCTCTAATGGTGTCTTCCAGCTCCTCCTTTGATGACGGTCTTCCCGCGAATGAGAAATCAGCCAGCGGGTCCTCTTCATGGAAAGTTGCTTGCCAGGCATGAGTTGAAGAAACATCATCCCTTGGCGCATCATGCTCTTGTTTTTGCCTCATTTCTTTTTGGCGTTGAGCAGACCGGACTTTTTCTAGCTTCCTCCAATTTTCAACTTCAGCAAGTTTGGTCTTCCAACGATGACTGCTTTGTTTCCACTTTGCCTCCGACGATTCGAGTTCTTTAATAATGGACTTGGCCATGTATTCGCAACTAGTACGATCAAAGGAAAACAAGATAGCTGGCTAAAAAGCTTTGAGTATCGCAAAAGGTTAAGATTAGTAAGGACTTACTAAGTTATCAAGTTTGTGCAGATCACAAACTAGCGACATCAAACCCTCAAGAAACTCGTCCTTAGACGGTGAAACGTCAGCGCCAGGATCAGTGAGAGTCCGGGGAGTAAGCGATGAAATGATTTTCTTCATGGAGTTAGGGTCGTGCACCATTAAATGAACAACAACATCCTTCAAGACTTTCTCGTATTCAAGAATATCCTTTTGACATAGTAAGCCCCGTCCTTTAAAGATTGTTTCAGGGCTCAGATCAATGTCTTCCAACAGGTTATGATTATGCAGAGTGCGGTAGAGAAACAGACAGTCACGCGATTCCAGCGACATATCTATCGGAAGAGAATTGGAATTCTCGGAAAGAAGCGAGACCGGATGGAGGAACGTCAACCGCTTGGAAACTTCATGACTTGATAGCGACGTGGAAGAGTATTTGTCTGGTGAGGGAAGAAAGAAGAATTTCCGCAGGTGTGAATATCGATATGGATGGTGTATGTACACATGCGGGAAATCGTGAGCCTTCTGAACAGATTCCAGCCACACGTTGAATTGTTCGGGTGAACCGACCGTCGCTGATAACCCACTAGTATTGACAGTTCCAGATTAGCTGGGACCCAACTCGACGATAATGATACTTACATTATCGGACACGGAGCGAGCAGAATGATTTGTTCCCAAACCGCACCTCCTTGTTCTTGCCCGATGGAATGAATTTCGTCTAGTATAATCCTAAAGCCTGTCAGCTGAAATACTAGCAAATTTCAAGGCTATTACCGTTTTACTCGCGACGTCCAGTTTTGAGCCAGGGCCGGCGACAGAATAAGAATTCCAAGCATTTCTGGCACAGTAATTAGAATTTGGGCTCGCTGTAAGTCTCCAGTTCGTGTATCACGGGTGTGCACTGCTAAAAGGGTTTCTGTGAAAAGGTTTACATATTAGTTACAAACCGACGTTAGTAGAAATATCTATTACGATTGCCAGAGTAGTGTTTTGAGAATCGACCATAAACTTCTGCGGCAATCTGGTTCACAAGCGCCTTTGTTGGTGCAATATAGACCAATACGCCATCGTCAGATTCACGAAGGATCCTTTCCATAGCATAAAATGAGATGAATGTCTTTCCCGCACTGGTTGGAGCTAGGCAACAAATAAGAATAACACACTTGCAATAGGAAAGTTACACAAACCGAGGGCTAGTAAAGATTCATTTTTGTCAATGGCGTCCAGGACCTCTCGCTGCCAACGATCAGGGGAGAAGGGCACACGTGCATCTGGGGCACTGTCCATGGAACGGTCCATGTATTCTCCAAAGTGCTCTAGCTGCCATTCGATTGGCGACACCGTGATAGACATAAAGGGATAAAGAGAGACCATTTTGCTGACAAGTTTAATCGGTTTGAAGGCGCAAGAATCCAAGGAAAGCGCAACGTCGGGAAGAAGCGAACTAGTGAAAGACTCAAACCCGATAGAGCGGCACACATCCATGAGAAACTTGTTGGCAGTGGTTGGGATGTTCGGGTGGACTGGTAGTTTTTTGATCTCGGAGAGGAGGCGAAGTATTTTGATGACCATCTCGTCACGGGAAGAATCAGGATCTGACTTCATCGTCCAGCCCTTCAAGATAAGATGAAGTTCATAGAGTCGCATCTCGAAGGCAACTGAGGGATATGTAGCCTTGGAAGAAGGGTTCCGCTTCATCAACTTAACATGTTCAAGCTGATCCTCCACAGTGTCAAGAGTCATAGCCTTCAGCTTCCCTCCCCACCATTCAACAGCCTCCTTCTCGGTCTTCTTGGATTTATCTTCTAAAATCTTAGCTCTAGCTTTATTAGCCCCGGTCAAGATTGGTGGCTTGGAACGGTCCGCCTCCTTGGTCTTCTTCGATTTACCTTCCTGGATCTTAGCTCTAGTCTTATCAGCACCGCTCAAACGTATCGGCTTAGAGTTCTGAATATATGAGCCTCAATTCAAAATTTTCGAATATGTTAGAGAGAATATACCTGTGGTTTGGATCCCACAGGGGCAATTATGGTTTTCTCCAAGATATTCCCATTTGCCCCAGTGAGAGAAGCAGCCTGCTTTTGTAATCTGGTCTGATCACGATGCAACTTCCGATCACGTCGCCGCTTCTCCCATTCGTTGAGCGGTTTGCTTTTCGGCCCTCCTAGGTAAGTGGGCAGGAACGAGTGCATGTTATGCCAGTGCTTCGTATCATTGGCCAGTATATCCATCCCAAATATTGAATTTGGCGCATTGTCATCAATCTGGGACATGCCCGGTATATTTACATGAGCAAGAGCAGTGTCAAATACGTGGTTAGAGAAGGGAAGAAGATGATACTGCTGAGGAGGAGGAGATGCAGCCACGGCGGATATTGGAGGACATGGGTAGCGATCGGCGAGACCAGGACCATCGAAAGATAACTCGGACAAGATTCGGAAATTTTCGTCAGCTTTTTGAAGTGAAGGCAAAATTTGCTTGACGGAAGTCGCCTTAGTCTGGATTACAAACCGCAAGACTTCCAGGAATAGTCTTCCGTCGATGTCCAGGGAATAAGAATCAGATTGAGCGAGAATTCGAAACACAGAGGGTAGAAAGGTTCTCTGGAGAAGAAGCTCTAAGTCTGGATGAAGCTTCGGTAGTCCTCGTGCCAATAGTCGTACATCGAGCTGCGCAGTGAGCGAGACATGCAGTAGAAACATGCTTGAAAGGTCCCCAACAGGAAGACGATTAGACCACCACTCCAACGGATGCTGAATAACCAGAGTAGACAATGGAGTAATATATCCTAGTTGCTCATCGAGCTCATCGCGCGAGAAGCTGATAGCATGTTTTAGAGGCAGATCAAGTTGGAGGTTCTGTACATGAGTGCGGCTTTCGTATACGAACGTCATGATCTTTGGAATCGGTTAAACCATGGATGAAGGAGAATAATAGGAGGCTTCGACAAACCTTAGAGTCACGATATTCAGCTCCTTTGAGAAGTGCAAATGCCAGGCCTTGACGAGACAGCTCAAATAGTAATTCTCTCTGAAGGAGAGCGCGTTTATATTGGCCTCCTTGAGCATTTACGAGAGTGTCACCATCATTCGCCATAATGAACATAGGCTAATACGCATTGAGCATGTCTAGTTCGTTCGAATTGATTAATGATAAATATACCTGCTTCTTCGATACTAGATTGATCCAAGAAGGGTCCTTGGGTGAGTCAAATGAGTGGATAGGAATATGTATGTTCGCCATGTGGTGGAAAAGCATTTTTCGTGCTAAAGCGCGTGAGTTTCTACTGAATTCGGAGCCACCGGCTCCAATGGAAGTATGTCGAGCGCCTTCATTCACAAGAATCATAGGTTAGATCAATGAGAAGAAACAAGAGAGAAAGGCTTTGTACCATTGAAGAAAACAACTTCAAAAGTCGTGTCACGCTGTGTGAATTCTAGGATATGTTTTTCAAGGATAAATTTGGCATGCAAAAGTTGAAATGAATTGTCGGTCCTCTTGTTTTCAGTGTCTACAGAGGGTGTATATGCGAGCAAAGGTATAAAATGCCACTTCCTCACCTTCAACTAAGCGTCCTAAGGCTAAAGACGGCGTGTCAAACACCACTTGGAGGAGAGAGTCACCTTTGAGATCGCAGTTAGTATAAACCAGTTGGCACGACAGCAAGTTCAACTGACCGTCGATGAAAAAGGTCTCTTTCCCACCATAATCACCAATCAAGTCCATCCATCTTGCACGCCGAGTGGCTAGTGTATACCATGTGTCGTCGAAAAGACGCAGAGCCGTCTTGGGTGAAAGTTGTTGTCCTTGATAATGCGAGCTCGGTGAATGCAGTGCAGATGGGCCATCCTCAAAATTTTCAAGGTCCATGGTGGTACGTAGGAAGAGCGTTCGCAGTCAGACACGAGGCAGACGGTAAAAACAAAAATGGGCCTTTTATGTAAGTTAAGATTGTATTCAGAATTGACATAAATTCCTGAAGTTACAAGTGAAAGCCCTTCACCCTATAGCGCGCCAGGTGTCAAACCTTGCCTAGAAAAGAGGTTGAAGAAGGATGCCAACGTTTCAATGTCAACGGCTTGCTATTGGGGAGGGTTTTTTCTGAAAACAACAGTTGAACCGTAAGTGAAAACCGTACTTATATAAATAGTCATTAATTAACTCGTCAACGTAGATATCCTCACGTCCAAGTCACAAAAGGCCCAAACCCGGCTTTAAATGCCTCCGCATCAGCTCTGTCCTCTTCCTCGTCCAACGTGCACGTCTTCCAATCGACCCGTGATGGAAATCCGAGAAGGTCTGTGAGAACTTGTCTGTTGGGGATGAGAATTTGCAGTATTAGAGACGGGATGAAGATAGCAAATAGTATGATACAAAAGGGGACATAAAGCAATGAAGAGGGGAGAGAGAGAGAGCGGTCGTGTAAATCTGAGCATAAAAATAAGACCAAGAAGCAAAGTAGGAAATCTTACCTCCCAAATTGAATCCCGAAGGGTACACCAGGGTTTATCAAATGCACCATCTTCTTTCCATCCGGTAGTTCTACTTTGAAATAACTTGCTCCTCCCGCACCTAAGCGTAACGCTTCTTCTGCATCTTGTTCAAAGAGAATGCCTTGTGACCGAGCTTGGGATACAAAAGCTTCTTCGACCTCTTCTGTCTTGAGACTTTGGGGTAGTGGCACACATTGTATATGGGCATGTACACCTTTTGCACCTCTTGCACCTAGGCGGGAGATTTCGAAGAAAACGGGATGGCATGCGTGCTTGGCGTAGAAGTTACGGAGGGAGAGTTTATACCTGCGTGAGAGGTGTGGGTCAGGATCAATGGGTGTGTAGCAACAAAAAGTCCGGGAGGGGAGAAATGTATGAAGAAGCACGAAGGCAGGTAGAGAAAGGAATGAAAACGCAAATAAGATTCATCACTCACTTTTCCGTTTCCTCGATGATCGGGGGAGCTAGGTCCGATGGAATGGTATTGAACGTTGGGTAGTGTGTAATGGGAACGATGAGAACATGCCCTCCGCCAGGTACACTTGTCCTTGAGGACGCTCTATTCTCGGGAGCGGCTGATTGCGTCGGGATAATCTGTCCTTTGGGTAGAGTGACATAACATTCTTCGCCGATTGAGGTGATAAGGTGTTTCCTGTCGAGACGGTACATTTTGGGTATTGGGGGATTCAGATAGAGTACGAGAAACATAGACGCACGCCAAATTTGGGTTCGACAAACAGAACCAACACTCCTCCGCTAAATCAACCGAATGTCAGACTCAGGTTCTTGTAAACCTTAGTTGGGCCTGGGATATACATACGTCCAATCTCTCTCGGCGGTCCTCGTTTTCCTCCACCTCCACCTCCTCGCTGAGTGACAACAGGACAATCATCCAAATAATGTCCGCCCTCGTTCCCACACGCTCTGCACACATAACCTTCTTTGGGCTTCCGGCCTCCGGTGTCTCCAACGGCATTTTGAGAGCTTGAGGGACAGTCTCGAACAAGATGTCCAGCAATGTTACAAATCCGACACACATAACCTTCCGGAGGTTTTTGTCGTTCCGGACAATTGTTGATGAAGTGCTGTTAGTATCGAATGTTAGCAAAATAATGGGGGTTCGTAAATTAAACCGTAGATTAAACCTGCCTCAGTGGAATCACACCTCCGACACTTATATCCTGGCGGAGGTTTTCCGTCGATATTCTCTGTCACGGACATGCTCATCTCAGATATTAGACACACACAACCTCAATATGGAGCGAACAAACCTATCCTGGTCCTCTTCACTGGCTGTCGAACGTCACCAAAAATATAATTCTCCCCTTGCGAGGATTGAACTTCTTGGAACGGTCGTTTGCGGGGTAAGGTTTCAGTGAAAGGATTCTTGCTTGCATTTTTGGGTTTCTGAGCAGTGGAGGAAGCGGATCCGGGCTCAATGGAAAATGCATAAAACCACTGAATACAAAAGGTCAACAACAAGAATGAGAAAAACGACAACAAAAGGAACGGATGGAGGGCTCATACGCTCGAAGCATCGTCAAGCTTAGATAGTGCTCACCCTCTGCTTCTTCCCATTGACAGGTACCGGCCCATTGAAAACACCCAAGCTGATAAATCTGGACGCTCGACCATTTCCATTATCATCATCCCACACAAATGGCTCACGTTCCCAGAACACCGGCTGTGTTTCTTTACTACCATCTGGGACGCCCGCAGCGAAATGATATCGCGGTCGAAGGCGCCTGCATAAGTCGTCTAGAGGCGCAGCACCAATTTTAGATGAAGGTAATGAAGAAGGTAGTGGTACAGAGGAGAACCCCGTTACACAGGCCGGCCAGACGTTCGTAACGAGCACATCCACGAACTGAGATGAGGACGAGGATGATTGGATTGATGCCAAGGATTTGTAGTTTTGTTTTTGTTTTGCAGAGGAAGTCGACGTCAAGCTATTACTCAATAGCTTTTCCACAGTTTGCTCGGAGAAGAAGGGTGAAGCGAAGCCTGGGGCGGATTCAGAAGACGAAAAGATGCTCGGCTCGAATGTTCCTCCTAAACAGGCGATACGCAGCCCGGACGCGGTTGTTACGAGGCCTGATTTACCTGTTACGCGATGCATAAGGACGATAGTGACTACGGAAATTGAAGCAAAAACAGACTCATTAAGAACACATCCTTGCACAGCTCCCCTCCTGTCTTCGCAAACTTCTGAATGACCGCGTCAGGGAGAGGGTTTTCACCTTGCATGATATAGCATTCAATTGGAGCTGAAGCAGCGCGACGGCTTTTAGACAGCAGAACCAGATGTGTCGAATATACAAGACACGTACCCGGTAGTTTGCCTTCCAGCAATAAGGATATTTCATCGTCTCCCGCGTTTTCCACATCCTCCTTCTCCTTCAACTTTCCGAAGAAATCCCCAACACAGAGTGCAAAGTCAAACTTGCCATGTTTGTCGTCGATTGTTTTGATTTTGGTGAACAAATTTCGGATGGATCCATTTGCTGAGCCCAGCGAGAGGCTAAAAAGCAGTAAGAAGTTATTGAAGGATTATAAACCATGTATGATAGCTGACACGATAGAATGCATGAATCAAGGATTGAAGTGATACTCACATTTTCACTGGAGCCGCCATAGCTACTTACTGCAGCTGGAGAGATATGGTCGTTTGGTACAATGGTAGATGTGGGTAGATGAACAGAACTCGGAGAACACTTGTCTTCGGTCCGTGAATCCACGTGCACACAAATATTCTTTTTCCGCTCCTCTCCCGCCGTCACACAACGCAGTGAGCTTGCGCTCCGACATTGGTAGCTGTGTAAAGAGCGGGCTGAGGGCTATCTACACAATATGGCTCTTTCGCTCTCCCGAGTGCCTTTTAACCGCTCGCTCCCTCAAGGAACATTAATTTGTGCTCGAACCTATGCAAATTCGCCTCCCGGTCGTGAGTTCAAAGATCGTAATATCGTGGTAAGGAGAAGAAAGCTCAATCCAATTCCCGCAGAGCAGAGTCCTTTCAGGATACAAAATGTCAAGAGTACGGGTACTTCGAAGAATAAGAAGGCATTCAGTAGAAAGAATAGGATTGGTGTGAGTCTTGTTTCTTTGCAGGATACTCTACACCGTGCTCATAAAGAATGATTGCGAAAGGCTTTTCGCTCCATGGCCCCCTCATCATTGACGGTACCCGTACTCCAACCCAGCCCGAACTCGAGTCTTTCTTCAGTGCCTACGTTCAAACCAGTGTGTCTGCTATCATATCTCGACGCGCCGCCTCTGACGGGAAACCAATAGGAAATGATAACCGAGAACATGATCGGCCAAGTTGTCGCCTTCAGTCAAACTCCTAATGACCCCATCAAATATTTCGGTACACCGAAGAACATGTTACTCGAGGTTAGGAGATTCTTCTAAGCCTTCAATATCCTCTTGTCTAAAACACCTACTCACAACATATCCTCCTCATCTTCATCCTCATTTACGTCTGTCAGTTCCGTCTACTTTCCCAAAGGTGTTCAGTCATTCGAAATATCACCGTTTTCACTGCCGAGGAGTTAGATTCAGCTGCTGTAGAACCCAGCCATAAGACTCGATATGTACTCACCGGTCCTTCAGGATGTGGGAAAAGCTTTTTGCTGCTTCAATCCGTGCAATATTGCTTGGCCAAGGGATGGATTGTGATCTATATTCCTCGAGGTGCGTTATTTGAATCCCGTATTATTCTTTCTCTTGTTTATCTGTCTACAGCCAAAGCGACGGTTAACTCAACGACCACACACACGTATGATCTTCGTACTCAAACCTACCTTCAACCAAATTACGCACAGCAGACACTTCGGAGAATACTAGAGGTCAATTCCGCCAATTTAGAAACGTTAACCTTGCGAGAAGGTCTAAATTATGACCGTCGATCCTTCGGCAGTGGTACTACACTTGCACAGTTGGCATCTGCAGGCTCGAAGGATGCAGTAATCTCATCGGTGGTACTGGAAACACTACTCAATGAACTGAGTAGACAAAGCAAGTGAGTGCCTGTTCAACCATTCATCGTTTATCCCACAGGCCAAATATGTTTCTCTCGCGCCAGGATTCCCGTGCTGCTAGCTGTAGACGATTTCCAAGCAATCTACAATCAAAAGACCGCCTATCGTGATCCCCACTTCTCTGCCATCCGACCATATCATCTTGCTATCCCGCGTTTCATTCTCGAATTTGCTTCTGGGAAGCGGTCTTTCCCAAAAGGAGCTGTTCTCGGGGCATTGACTGCTATGGATCCGGCATTCCCTGTGACCAACGAGCTGATGGATGAGCTTGGTCTCCCGGGATTGCATCCCCGAAGTCCGTATAGTAGACGATCGAAAATCCTCCAAGAATACGCTCGGGGTTTGATGAATCTGCCTGTTCCAGAAGAATTTAGTCCGCGTGAGGCTGCATCGGTATTTGAGACGTGGATGCGCGATAACGCGTTGACAGCGCGTAAGTGGTTGGATCTTAAATATTGCACTTTGCTTTATGCTTATAACTTGTTGGATTAGCGGGCAACGACGAATTATTTTTGGCCAAGTACACAGAGTCTGCTGGTAATCCCAAAGCGTTTGTTTGGCAAGGAATTCTTGGTACGTTAGAGGGAGCGGCCCCTGTGGTGAATCAGAATACTCCCTGGCCACAGCTAAGGGAAGGTCGTATTGCTGTTCAATAGAAAAACTCAGTTGGCTTACATATGTTCTTTTGTCGTTAAAAACTGTAACTCAACACGTGATCATTGTGGAACGCGTCCACGAGGCGCGCCACACGCGTCATTACATTTCATCGTTAGACCGTGTCATAGGTCCCAGTTTGAATCAGATCTAAAAATATATGCCTTGGAATTTCGGACTCAGTTCAACACCGACCAGGCCAACACAATGGCCATCTTTCGACTGTTACCAATATCAATCATCGACAGACATCTTTTGAACTTGAACCACGACCACTAAAATTCACAATCCAATAACCTCATATTCACTGCGGAAAATGCCTTTCGGATTCAGCAAAAGTGGAAACAACACCCCTGCCGACGGTGGCAGCCCTTTTTCGTCTCGTCCTGGGACGCCAAAGCTCAAGGATGTCGTGAGTGAATTTGTTCTTCTCGTATCTTGTTTCATCGTTTGTTCGATCTCTCCATGGGCCCTTTGGTGTCAGGGCAACAAAACGTAGTAATGAGGACGGAGGAGAGCTTTTCGCTGTGTGTAATCAGTGGCACGATCCACGACACGCTGTATTTCCTATTCCTATTCCTGTGCTTGATTTGCACGAAACGGTTGATGGATACGATGGATACGACGGATGGCTATGTATAGACGGATCATATTTGACCAGATGCAGTCGATGGCTTGTCGATGGATGGGACGTTTCGAATGAGATACGCGTGGAGGCGCGTGGTCTAATGGAAGAATTCGGAGCTTTGGCAGAGTGCTTCGAGGCGACTTTTAGCTCGTACGCGTGGTTGAGGGCGTTTTTTCGATTTTCAGAAAGAGTCATATTCGATATTCGGAAGTACTAGGAAAGGACAAGAAGAAAGAGTGCTTTTCGCTATTTGCATACCCCCGTTTTTGCCTCGCTTTTGCCCTGCTTTCGCCTCGAGTATTTGGAGCCTCTATATACGCAATCGCCTCAACACAGTACACTCGTTTGAAATTCCACTCAAAACGTCTTTGTTTCGGTTTCTTTCTTCTTTGTTACTTATCGTTCCCTTCATTCCTACCTTCCTTCCACTCCCGGTTTACTTCCCTTTCTACGATGCATCTTCCACGAGGGAAATCATTCACTCAACTCTCGAATATGTTTGACCAGGTCCTAGACGTTATGCGGAACATGAAGCACGAGAAGGATTCTGAGGCTCATCAAGTATGTCGTTACAGTCTCTCTGTCTCTTTCACTACATACTCACTGTAACATAACCATCCTTATAATAGATCTTCCGTCAATCAGCCGGTCACGCTCCCAAAGGCGTTCGTCTCCTCCCAGAGACCGTCAACCCCGAGGAAGAAACCGTACCAGGAATTCAACACCCAGGAAGTACCGGTGTAATTTATTGCAGCGAACGTGCCATCGCCAATGGGTTCTCCTACACCGCTCAACACGAATGGGCCAACCTTGGTCAAGGCGCTCCCGAAGTCGGGCCTATCCCTAACGCACCAGAACGACCCAAGACGATCCAGATGCCGGAAGATAGTTTGGAGTATGCTCCTACGACTGGAGTCAAAGGTATGTGTGTTACTATGTCGACAGCCTTGATTGTCTGATGATCGAGTTCTGTTTATAGCCCTCCGTGAAGCCGTAGCGAACTTATACAATGTCACGTACCGCCAAAACAAAGCATCTCAATACACATATGAAAACGTGTGTATTGTTCCAGGAGGACGAGCCGGTCTCTCTCGGGTCGCAGCTGTTATCGGGGATGTATATACTGTGAGTTATATCAGCTTGTGAACGAATTACCATGACTGATGCCCGTTTTACCCTTTATATGCTCTTCGAAGTCTTACCAAATTCCTGACTACACTGCGTATGATCAAGTTTTGAGCGCATTTAAGAGGCTTGTTCCGGTTCCTACTGCGTGAGTCCACCATTTTCTTCTGCAATCGTCATGTTTCGTTTTTTCTATGAGTTTGATTATAAATTCTTTCGTGCTGCTCTTTTTTTTGTACTGGAGATCTCCCCCTTCTTCATTCATTGTGTATTTGAGTTGAAACGGGAGCTGACTTTCCCTTGACAGCTTGGATCCTAGCGTAAGTTTCAAGCCGTCTGTTAAATAGCCGCAGCAGCAGTCGCTCAATCAACCGTTGCCACCGCGCCTTCTCATTTACTATAGAACAAGTACAAATTGGACATTCAACAAACCAAAGTTCGTCTTCCTTCTGTTTGAATACCCGAACCATTGAAATTCAAACAAAAATTGTATTAACAGAAAGACATCGCAACGCAAGGTCTGGCTGTTATCCTCGCTTCGAATCCCAGGAATCCTACTGGACAGGTACGTTTGGGATAGACCTTATGTCATTGTAAAATTATATCGACTTTGACTTGCTCTCAAAATTCAGGTAATCAAAGGCAACGACCTCAAGGAGCTCGTTGCGCTCGGCAGGGAAGGATCGACTGTTATTTTAGATGAAGTGCGTTTTCACATACTCGTTGTTTTGTTTAGAACTGAAAATGCCACATCTCATATCGACAGTTCTACTCCTGGTACATCTACCCCGAGAACGACAAAGATCTTGGCAAGTCGATTTCTTCGGCAGAGTACGTCGAGGATGTCAATCAGGTAAGTATACAGTTGATTGTTTCGCCACTTCATCTGTTCGTTGGTTTTTACGATCTTTTTACTTGTAGGACGCGGTTATAATTGTAGATGGTTTGACTAAGGTTGGTGTCTTTCGGTAAGAAGAGAACAGCTCACTAACAATTATACCATAATTAGAACTGGCGTCTACCAGGCTGGCGTGTCTGTTGGGTAATCGGACCGAAAAATCTTGTCACTGCCTTGTCCCAGTCTGGTTCGTTCTTGGATGGAGGAGCCAATCATCCGTGAGTAATCATGTATACTTCAATGTAATATCCTCGACTAACCACCTTTCAGTCTCCAACTAGCCGCTATCCCTCTTCTCGACCCTATACACGCGCGGAACGAACGAGTCGCGCTCCAAAAGCACTTCAAGATGAAGCGAGACCATGTTTTGGCGAGACTCAAGGAACTTCACCTAGATGTAGATGTTCCACCGCATGCGACGTTTTATGTCTGGTTGAATTTAGAAAAATTGCCGGCACCCCTAAATAATGGACTGGTGAGTTGAGGGAGCCACTTCCTTCTCGTCGATAAAGGCATGATTGATCATATACATATGCGGTGTTTGAACGCAGACATTCTTTGAAGAGCTCCTCAAAGAGCAAACGATTGTCATTCCCGGGATTTTCTTCGACATCAACCCCTCGCACCGCCGGAATTTGTTCAACTCGCCTTGTCATCATTTCGTCAGGCTTTCGTTCGGCCCGCCGGTCGAGGATTTGGATAAAGGACTTGATGCGATTGCGAGAGTGCTAAAGAAGGCGAAGAAGGAGGGAATGAGAGCCTTTGGACATAGGTATGATTTTTCTCTTGAGTTTATCTGTATCTACCTACCTCTTTCTCTCCAACTTTGCATTCCTCCCCATACTCGATCTTGTGGATATTAACTTTTCCTTTGCCATTTTTCAACAGTTACAAGAAGAGCATCGACGAGCCTATAAACTTGGCATCCAAGACCGTTGACCAGGTTTAATAAAATTTCCCGTTAACGTTTTCCCTCCTTCTATAATTTGTTTTGGCTCCTGAATAAAGAACTATGAAATGGGTACAGTATGGCATACCGCTGTGCCAGTAGTATTATGGGTGGACTGTGGTAATAATAGTACAAAGTACTACTAGGCCAAGTAGGTGTTATATTTGGAAAAATGTGTAGAATGCAGACCAGGTTGAATATGCATGAATGTAAAAGAGCTGAAAATTTCGTGCGCGGCGAAGCTTTTATTGGGTCGGAGTCAAAGCTACAGTTTGACGATCTTTGAGTTCTCTTTTTCTCCATTTCCTTGGCTCCTTTTCCCGAATACCGAGTCCTCTTACCTAGTTACATGCAGTATCACACTTTCTTGTACGCATTTCCAAGTTCCTACTTATGAAAGAATAAGCAAGGACATATGACGACGTTTGTGATTATCCCTGGGGCTAATCATCCATCTCCTTCTGACAGGTGCAGGATGAGAATTCGCTGTGGCAGAGGCGTCGATAGGTTCCTTGACAGAGCCGCGGTACATGCAATTTACCATGTTATTCTTTGGTACGTCTTTACTTCTACCTACCCTTTTTACACTGATACAACTGCGATATTAGCAATGACCACTTACAACTTCGAGCTACTCGTTTCGTCTTCGTGTTACAAAAACTACAAAAGCGTCTCGCCTAGTGTAAATGTGAGTGAAGGCAGCAGAAGGAGAGCGTTGAGAAATAGAGTACTCACCCAATGCAGCGCGAACAAGCGAACATCCAACTGCGACGGTCTGTTTTACACTGACATCGTCTTCTAGTGAAGGGTTGACTTCCTGTGATACACCAAGTCATGAATCAGAACCTCAAAACAACTAGTTTCAATGGAAAGGGGAATAGAAAGGACTTACCATCAAATCCAACCCAACCAACGCCCCAGTCTCCCATATCCTCTCGCAGATATAATGACCCTCTCTAAATGTCAGTCCTCCGCGGACAGGAGTACCCGTTGACGGAGCAACACTTGGATCAAGAGCATCAACATCAAATGAAAGGTGTATTGGCCGAACTTCATCGGGGTTTGTGTTATCAGCGTTCAGATAATCCAACGCCATCTCAACGACTTTGCCGATCCCATACCGATCCACATCGTGCATACTAAATGCCTTGATCCCGTTATCTTTCAGAATCTTCTTCTCGCCCGAATCAACGTCTCGTAGGCCGATATAGACGATAGAAGATGGTTTAAGGACTGGTTTTATCCAAGCGAATGGTGTCTCTAAAGAAGGGGAATTGGATTTGTTGTAATCAGAGAAAGCCTGGTGGTTTCCATCTAGTCCCATGAGGAAGGAGACGGGCATTCCGTGGATGTTACCTGACTCGGTGGTAGCAGCTGTGTTGATATCTGCGTGCGCATCAACCCAAATGACGCCAGCGCTAGGATGGGCACTAGAGGAGAGATAACAAATTTAGCAAACTTCGCTCAACAGTTTCAGGGCCTATTCAAGCTCGAAAGAATAACCCGGGAACAGACGGAGCATTCGTATAACTCACTCCAACGTCCCGGAAATAGTACCCATCGCCAACGAATGATCGCCTCCTAATGTGAGAGGCAGCTCTCCCTTCTTCGCATGTCCTGATACGACTTTAGCTACCTCCTCACATACACGTGAAACCAAACGCGGGTTCTTCAGTATGCCAATGGGTGGATCCCAATGATTCGAGGTTGTTGAGGTATCGTTGTCCGTACCAGCCGCAGGCGACGAAGCAGTAGCGGAAGACGACGACAACGTATATTTAATGTCTTCAAATTGATGGTGCCCATCAAACTTGACGTTCCAGCCTAGCTCTTGAAGTTGATTGACAAGCCCAGCTTCGACGAGGTGTATTGGACCTTCGTCCACGCCAATTTTAGGCTGGCCGCCGCTGAAGGGACATCCTACAATCTGAGAATGCACGATATGGATAACGGCAATATAACGAAAAAGCAGCCACTCACAGAGACGGTCTTGGGAGATTTCAGGAATTGAGCAAGTTCAGATGTCATGATAATGATAATGTATCGTTGAATATACGAATATAGTCAAAGGAAGGAGGACAATATTTCTGAGCAATTCGTTTGGGGAAATGGAGTGAGTTCCGGGTTGAAAGGACGGAGGAAATTTGAGGAGACCGTATTTATAGCATTTCTGGTGAGCTGTACCAGCAAGATCCGAGAAGGTACATAGAGCACAAGCCTCTGCAATTTGCAAAGATGAGTGCCGATTGTGCCGGCGCCAGGCATCCCAAGAACTAAACCTCCAGTTATTTCCAATCCCTTCGTACTTTACGTATGGCATAGAACCATTCACTCAAAAAAGGACCATTGCACGAAATAGACCGCTAAATGGCAGCGGAACTCTTTACCTGGTTTTATACGGAGAGTCCTGTACGTATATCATTGGCTGTAAGCTCGCAAAAACCATAGCATATGAAAATGTACTGGGATGACTCTATCTACTTGTGTATAGTAGCGAGATTTACGATACTGTTTTCTTTAAATCCTCCTTGTGCCTCTGGAAGATTTCAATGAAATCCAAGACTCCGCGATAGGCAAAAGAGTGACAGAGCAGATTTACATCTTCTGCCCTATCACGATTTGTGGTCTTCCAACCCTGTTTCCAGTCCTTTCGTAGTTGGCGTATAGCATCAAACCACTCATCCAATATAGGAGCCATCGTGTGTAACAAATTGCTGTATGGCTGTGGAAAGCCATCCTTGATGTCATCGAGAGCCTCCTGTATATCAATTGCTGTGGTCTCACGAAAAGTATAGCCTTCAGCAATGCTCTGGGACCATCGTATTTCCTTCTTTGCACTCTTCGGAAACTTTGTGTTTCTTAAGGTTGACCAGAGACCAACCCATAAGAAAGACTCTATATCATCAGCTGGAGATTGAATCTTGTTCTTGGATTCATTTAAGAACCACTTGGATATGAACTGAGGCGTCCCCTTGGAAACAGAATCAGTATTATTGAGACAATGAAAAATTCGAGAAAAAACACTCACCGACACGGTACCATCGTGTGCCAATCTTTTGAAATATCCTGCCATACCCTCACCCATATCCCCATCTGTCCAAATCGCTTTACACCCAGCACCTGAGGTGAACTCTTGCGCGTGTTTGTGGATTTTGTAAGCAATATCGGCAATTGATCTATGCTTGTCATTTTCGATGGCGGTAATAAGTTCAGGAAAAGAGTTCAAAGAACCGATGTCTTTGGTCGAAGATGGAAGAATCAAATTGCGAACGGGGAGCGCAGAGAAGTCCCTTCGAAAAGCAGTTGCTGCTGATTTCAATTTGAGTATGTTGCCAATGCTGATATCCCTATGCACGAAACCATGTTGGTATAGGTCTAACCATCCTAAATTCAACTTTCAGTGCTCATCCACACCAAAGTATAGGAAATATCTCAGACCTAGTATTGAGTGAAGCAAACATTCCATGAGTTCAAATGCACTGGTGCAGTTTTCCAAAGTTTCACCCTCATCTCGAGTCAGACTAAAGCACAAGGAATGGAAATCAGGCTTTGGATACACCGGAGGAGGCTTTGCACCATGCAAGTTCCAGAATACATTCTCGAGGTTGTCATTGGCAGAGGACAGGGATATTGAGTTGGAAACAGGGCTTCCAATTTTATAACAGGCCTCAAAAGATATGATATGATCCGGAGAACCAAAATCTCCAGTACATGCACTGAACATCCTGGTCCTTCCGGCAGCCTGAGGCCAGGAGACCTTGAGGACAGCTCCATCCTTAACTTGAGACCAGTCTCGGATGCAACCTGAAGTTATCATCCAATGCGGTAGAGTGAACTTGATGTCCTTGTTATGGGAATAGAGGTGCTTATTGTCTGATTTGAATGACAATGTGAATATACAGAGTTATCATTGAATATCTAACTGACCTGAAGATTCTTTATCCTGTATAGACTTCGATCCGGTGGCAAACAAATTTAAACACACAAGGCAGGAAAACAATCAGTATGTGGTATTATCAATCAAGATGACAGCAGAGTGGAACAACTTACCATTGCTGGATATTTGGTTGGTGTTTGTAGAGGTTAAGAGAAGAAACAAGGTTTGAGTTAATTGCTAATTGTTGTTATCTGTGTGCGTGATCGTGTACGCTGGATGATGTTATCAATATTTCTTGTACGGCTATAACTCGGGTGGAGTTGCTATCATCAAGCTACTATATTTGGAGCTCAGAATTGTGACAACTTGCAGGACGTTATTTCGGCTTGGTCAATGAGAAGTGGGTACTTATCCAGCCATGTAACAGACACTAGTGCACCGTATGTGATGTCAACAATCAGACTACTTGCATGTTTAATAATACCAAACGGTCGGTACGTATGATCTGCGCCCTCAATGTCCACCCCTCTATCCCAGTCATCATTTCAAAGTGACATCTTACCCATATCATCCTTGGGCTACCGGAAAGAATCTACTAGCAAAATGACAAACAGGCGCGGTTGGACCTCTGTTGGAATTGTGAATGCACCTAGTGGCTGTACTCAAACCTCATCTATCTGTTGGGGAATACTCCGTACGTCAGATACACAGCTTTGACCTTTAACCACTATCCCTCTTTCGTATACGCTGATCTTCGTTCGTGATTACCATATACTGTACAGCTGTAGTAAGATCACGCAGACAGATGTACACGAGCCCCCTCAGTTGCTTTTATATCAACTGAGGTGAGCTCGCTAATAACTAGATACCCGTATTTACTAACGGTACCCGCTAGCTTAACACTACGTTAACAGGTACCTAGACAATACAGTTGCTTTTATATCAACTGAGCTTAACACTACGTTAACAGATTATGAGACTCGAACTCTAACCGAGCATAGAAAAATAAAGGTACTCAACCCAAAGAGTTAGAAATGTCGTTCGGAAACAGCCCGAATATACCGAGACTCCCGGACGAGAAACAGCTCGTCGGTGAAGACAATTGGAGACCGTTTAAACGGGAAGTTCTTTTCGCGGTGCAGTCGAAGGGACTAACCGGATACCTCGATGGAACAATCGCACGCCCAAACAAATACCCCGGACCAATATACCCACCTGCTCAACTCACGACTCCACTATTCAGTCCAACCCCGTACCCAGAAGAATGGGAGGCCCGCGATAGGCTAGTAGCTGGAGCTATTGTATCGAATATTACGGACCCTGTCGGGCTTGGAATAGACGAAACTAAAAGAGCATCAGAAATCTGGCAGGAACTGATCAGACGGTTCGAAAAGAGGGACGAACAGCGCATACATTTAGCCGATACGAATCTCCGCCAAGAAAAGTACGACCCGGAGACCACGATGGAGGACCATGAAAAGAAGATGCGTAACCTCCTGAAAAAGGTGCACGACTTGGGAGGGACAGCGACAGATGCACAATTCCGCAGAATCGTGATCTCGTCAATGCCGTCAGGGTGGAAGCAAGATGTTCGGAGCGTCCCGGGGGTATCGAGCACAGAAGCGTTCACGTACCTCCATACTTTGTGGTATGAGAAAGAGGAGGAACGAAAAGAGGAGGAGCGGGACACGAAGAGGGTAAAAGCCCTGATGGCAGCACACAATCAGCCCAACAACCCTGCACCACAAAACCAAACACGTACCGGAAGTAAGCCAGTAATCACCTGCCACAACTGTGGAAAACCAGGGCACATAGCTAAGAAATGCTGGGCAAAAGGGGGAGGAATGGAAGGTCAGGGTCCTAAGCAAGGATTCACGAGCAAAAAGGCGGGAACGAACGCGAATTCGGCTAACCCAGACGACACCGAAGAGGTATCCACACCTATGGCAACCTATGTGATGGCAGCCCGAGCGAGCGGCCAATCAAGTACGTTTGAATCCGTCCAGCCACCCGAATCACCCACTGACCCGACAACCAGGCAGGTTGATCCCATTCTAAGGGAGGGGCATCAGTGGGAGAAAAGGGATAGGGACGTAGATAATAACGTACTTGACTACAAAACTGTACCCAGGCCGGAGTGCATGGCCTGCCACGGCAACACACCCCTGTATGCAAACCCAATACCGAGAATAAAAACGTTTCTTGACTCGGGAGCATCCGAACACTGTTGGGTCCAACGGTCTGATTTCATCGAGTATACCGAGGTACATGGACAAGCAGGGAGTAGTGCAATATCAGGCGACACAGGGAGGTTTGAGATCCTGGGTACCGGAACGGTCCAATTCGTCACACGAATACAGGATGAAGAGAGAATAATACAGCTACGAGGGGTAAAGCATACGCCGTCGTTCGGGCACAACCTGATATCTATACCGACGCTTGACAGCCGAGGTATGCGAGGAGAATGGGGAGTGGGAATAATGACGGTGAGGAACTCGAGCGGCGAGACTATAATGCAAGGTTTTGGACGCGATAAAATGTATGAAATTGAGGTACTGGAGTCGGGAAGGACGATAGTCAACTACTCAAGGACGAGGGACAGGCCAGTAGATATAATCACCTGGCATAGACGATTCGGACACATTGCAATCAAACGGATACTTCGAATGGCGAACCGCAAGCTAGTCGACGGATTGAGCATCACAAACAAAAGGATTCACGGAATGTGCGAAGACTGCTTATACGGCAAAGCAATAAGACGACCATTCGACGAAGTATTAACGCATGAGTCCGAGGTCCTAGAGAGGGTGCACATGGACTTGTTTGGGCCATCGAGAACGCAAAGCCGAGGTGGAGCGACGTACCTCATGCTCTGCACCGACGGGAAGTCATCGTTCAGGGTACCATATTACCTCAACAACAAGCGGAAGGAGACGGGACTGAAGGCGCTACACGAGTACCGCGTAATGGCGGAAAAACAAACGGGGAAGCAACTGAGGATCATCCGAATTGACGGAGGAGGCGAACTCAACAACGGTCTGGTGGATGCCTACTGTAAAGAACACGGGATTATCATTGAGAAAGTACCGCACGACTCTTCTGCAGCGAATGGGGTTGCTGAGCGAGCATTCAGAACAGTAATGGACGGTACTCGTACCTTACTAGAGGAAGCAGGCCTGCCATATTCATTCTGGGGCGAAGCGTCGAACACCTTCATATACACCAATAACTTCGTCCCATCCTCACGATTCCCAGACACGGTTCCGGTTGAGGCCTGGACGCAGAAGCGACACGACGTAGCACATCTAAGACCGTTCGGGTGTGACTGCTGGGCTACACTACCAAGGAGACGAACAGATGGAAAGCTGGGAAGACAGGCTGTAAAAGGAAAGCTACTGGGGTACATGGGGAGGAGAGGTTACCGGCTGTGGATACCGGAAACAAAGAAAGTCGAGGAATCGCATGATGTTACCTTCGAAGAAGGTATACCACACCGAACGCGACCGAGGGGGGATAACGAACATGAGGGCGATGAAGAAACGAGCGAAATTCCCCCAACTCCACAAGATACACGACCTGACAGCCCTGCAATAAACCCCGGAAATGACGAGAACGGCCATCAACAACCCATTGAACCGACTCAATTGCCAGCGGAAACCCATCCGGGAATAGATCGACAGCCACTAGCACCAGTCCAACTGCCAGAACCACCACGCCGAAGTGGAAGGGAACACGTACCATCGCGCAGATACCTAGAGAGCGAAGAGTATAAAGATCGAGAGAGAGCAGCGTCGGAAAGGAGGGAAAGTTGGACGGACGAGACACCAGTAGCAATGATAGCCCAACATCCATTTGCCTTTGCAGCAACGTCGGGGGAATTATGGGTACCACAGTCATACAAGCAGGCAATGCGACGACCCGACCTCTGGACAGCCCCAATGGAAGCCGAAGTCAGGACCCTGAAACAGAAGGAATGCTGGGAACTTGTCCCACTGCCACCGAATGCAAATCTTATGGGAGGCCGTTGGACATATGCTATTAAGTTCGACGCGACGGGGAACTTGCTGAAAAGGAAGGCCCGATATGTAGCACAGGGATATACCCAGATCCAGGGGCTCGACTACGACAAAACATACGGCGGGGTAGCAAGGATGGAATCCGTACGATTGGTACTGGCGATTACTGCGACACTCAAACTCTCACTATTCCAAGTGGATTTCACGGCAGCTTTCCTAAACAGCCCTATCACCCACGACGTATACATGAAGCAGCCCGAAGGATTCACCGAACCCGGGTCGGAACATCTCGTATGTAAGTTGAAGAAGTCAATCTACGGGACTATGCAGGGCAGCCATGACTGGCAGGCCACGCTGTCAGCTGGATACAAAGCCGACGGATATACAACATCCAGAGCAGACCCATGTATCAGGTACAAACGAATGCAAGATGAGTACACGATCACAAGCACATACGGGGACGACGTGTGTGGTGGATCCTCCACTAGGGCCGGTAGAGATAAAGCGATCGCGAACTTAGGGAAGAGGTGGGAGGCAAACGAGGTAACCACTGGAGTCTTGCTGGGGATGACGATACGACAGGACCCAGGAACTAAGGCGATAACCATCTCTCAGAAAACCTACTTCCAGCGCATGCTCAACCACTTTGGTCTCGATTGCGTCCGCCGTCGAAATACACCGCTACCGCCGAATGTGAAACTCAAGGAATCACCGACACCATTACCTGCCGAAGAGTATAGGTATATGGCTGACAAACAGTACAGAGCGGTCGTAGGTTCGATACTGTGGGGACAGGTATGTACACGTCCCGATCTTGCCTTCGCTGCTAGCCTCCTAGCACGTTACCAACTGAACCCGGGTCGAGCACACTGGGAATGTGTCGAATGGGTGGCGGGGTACATACTCAACACCCTGGACTATGCGATTGTGTACAAGGCGGGGGTAGAACCCGGCTTGAAACCCTATGCCTATGTCGACTCGGATCACGCAGGCTGCCAGGACACTTACAGGTCAACATCAGGATATGTATTCTTCATGGCGGGGGCACCTGTATCCTGGAGCTCTAAACGACAGGCTACGGTGGCGCTATCGACGACTGAATCCGAATACATTGGACTCTCCAGAGCGACCCAGCAGGCCGTATGGATATCCTCCTTCCTCTCAGAGGTGGACCTAGCCCAGGAAGGTCCCATCGACATGCTGGGTGATAACTTCGGGTCGGTGTGTCTCACAGAAAACTCAAAACGACACGCTCTGGTGAAGCATATCGAGATGCGACACCACTACGTCCGGGAGAAGGTGCAAAGCGGTGAGGTTAACATCAAGAGGATTAGGTCGGGAGAGAACGTTGCGGATATATTCACCAAGGCACTCAATGGCACCACCCACTCTAAGTTCGTATCTATGCTCGGGATAGATCGTACGGAGTAGGGGGGGTGTTGGGGAATACTCCGTACGTCAGATACACAGCTTTGACCTTTAACCACTATCCCTCTTTCGTATACGCTGATCTTCGTTCGTGATTACCATATACTGTACAGCTGTAGTAAGATCACGCAGACAGATGTACACGAGCCCCCTCAGTTGCTTTTATATCAACTGAGGTGAGCTCGCTAATAACTAGATACCCGTATTTACTAACGGTACCCGCTAGCTTAACACTACGTTAACAGGTACCTAGACAATACAGTTGCTTTTATATCAACTGAGCTTAACACTACGTTAACACTATCTCATCGCCTTGTGTAAGACCTGGGTCAAAATAGGTCTTAGGGTAGGTTTTGGTATGTGGAGGTTTATGTTGTAGCGTGCTAGGAGCAGGCTGGAGCTCGAAGGGAGCTACGAGAACCGCGACCGAGGACGGGAATGACCTAGTAGTAGTTGGAACGACGAGATGGTGACCCTTGAGGGGTTCCTAGGAGGTCCAGGGAGGTCCCTAATGCGTAGGGAGGTTCAGGACGAGTGCGGGACCGTAAGATATTGCGTAGTAGGAGTTGTACTCGCTAGAACGTCAATATAGAGTCGAGTAGGTGGTTTATGCAACGGGGTCTCAAGGGTGTAAGCTCCCGAGAAGGGATATGCCAGGGAGGGTAGGTCCCTGGGGACTAGGTTTGAGGATGGTCGTCCTCGAGTGTGGGAGGTGGTAACGGAGAAGCAATACGTAGTTCGACGTGAGGGGTAGCTTCGACGTTACCTAGATCGAGGTCCCGAAGCTTACGAAGTAGCTAGGGAGCTCTGGGAGGTTTGGGGAAGGGTAACTCACCAAGCGGGTAGGCGTTGGGGAGCTTTAGTAATGTTCGAGGGAGCTCGGAGACTCACTCGGAAGGCTTAGACTTCGAAGTGAAAGCGTATATTCGATCGTATGGACGATCAGAGAGACAATAGACAGAAGTAGAGAGAAACAGAGGTAGAGAAACAGAGAGTAAAGAGAAATCCGTATGGTTAGCAGGTACAAAGGGACAGGGACTGGACCTATGCAAAAGGGTGTGTGTTCAAAATATACCAAGCTGGGCTTCTGAACGCTCCTGGACTGATTAAATACGTATGGGGAAGTTAACAAGGAGACATGGTATGAAGCGAGCACTTAATGGGGATTCTAAGTACATGAGGATGGAATGATGGACGCATGTACGGGGTTCCAGGACCCTGTCGTGGAATGATTCGGTTGAATGGAGGGGAGCTAAGGGTTGCGGAGGTGGTTCTAGCGGTAAGGAGGTCTGTGGGACGTTTGAAGTGTTCTCAGGGATTCATGGAAGGGGTCTGAGGAGATCGGGAGCTATGCTAGAGAGCTTATGGGCTAAGGAACTTGGGGTGAGGCATGACAGCAAAGCGGTTCCACTAACTCCTTGTTAGGCTGATCAGTGATTATTAGGCTCTTTTCAAGCTCTTTACGTCGCACGATCATCACAACGTCCCTTCTCATATTAAGACAGAGGTATGACATGGGTTAAAGTCACGAAACTCACAGTAACGAAACAATCTTAAACTCAAGGCAGGTATTCATGAACTGCTTCCTGCAGGATCCTTTTTTGTTTTGCCAAACTTCACAAACCTTCACAAACTGCTTTATTTGCGATGTCGTCAATTCGAGTGTTCTGGGTGGCATCGGTATAGAGGGGGCAGGGAACTTGTTGATGGTGAACGTTGAACTTTCCGAAAGCTCTTGGTCAAACCCCATTTAGTCAGGAATCATCTCCGAATTGGAACAAGCATTGCATGACAACCTGGTTCGCGCCCGAGTCAGTAAACATGATTTGTACTGGATGCGAAAAGAGTACGTACGGATACGAGAAAATTTTTCTGCGAATACACAGACTGATGGTCAGGTTTTCATTATAGAAGCCATACCCCTCACACTTTCTTCTAAGATGCTCAATTGTCTAGTCCAAATATTCTACATGCAAGTAGTTTGTACCGCTCCTGAGTACAATGATCAGAAAATACGCCGTTTAGTCTTTTGCTATTTTGAAGGGTGCAAGGGTTTGCATAATTGGTGGTAAGTGGTACTTTTGTCCTTCACCCAACGCAGACCAATTTCACACCCAGGGCGCCCCCCTGATCTCGATGACATACTAGTAGGAACACCTGTACCGGTCAGTGTAGCACTAAGTATATGTGTCTTTTCAGTTCCTCAATTCATTCAGACTATATGAGCAGCCAGATGCAATAGCCTGAAGAGGACAATTGCATCTATTTTCACCCTACCGCACTTACTATGTCAAGGAGCCTGCAGATCACACAGTAAATACATCCCCGGAGTCCCTTGAACACCTTGTAACGTGAATGCTGAAGGAAACCACTCCTAGCAAACGTGAGGTAAGGTTTATGTATATTTTGATAGTGCTGAATCTCGAACTGATGCTTCTTGGCAAGAGGAATAAGGTGAGCATTGAATATATCCGTTAATTGAAGTGATCTCTTACCTGATTTCATTTTTTAATAACTTGTCTGCGCATAGGTCGCTGTTTGAGTATATGTAATGACCAATGGGTCACATAGCTATCACTCTACTAGATTGTACTCCGCGTTGTAAAAACACGGTCTGACCAGCTCCAAATATTGCTAGCAGTCAAGACATGTGTGCTGGTAAAAGTAGCTGTACCGGTGTTGGATTAAGTATCGTGTTTTGGAAGAGGATAGGGGTTTTCTAAAGAAGGTAAGTGATCATTCACCCTATCCACCCTCATCGGATCCAGGTGCAAACTGTTTAAACAGAAAAGAGTATGCAAAACGCCGAGTATATCTGTTACAATTGTCAAAAACATTGAAAACTGAGTCGGACTACCTTTGAACATCTCTAACAAATTAGTAGCAACCAGTCCAAGGTGAGTCATCTTTTTGAATGAATGAAATGACGAAGAGAGTAATAAAATCAGCTTCTACCTATAGTTTTCCCTGCTCTTGATGACCAGTATCCGTTATACTTGGCTCTGTAGGTCCCGATGGCTTTCTCTGGGCATTCTGCTTGAATGAAATCATAAGCCTGTAGACGGACACCACATAGCCTCACACAGCCGGCGATCGCGAGTGGCTGTGGACTCCGACTCAGAGCCCGGAGGCAAATATAGCTATGTATAAGGTGAAAATAAGGTGGAATCGATTTGGACATCCGACGCTCAACACCACTGGTCAACCGGTCAGCGTTAGCACTGTGCAAGTGTCTTTGTTCTTCCTTTTTCCGATTGTATTGTTCATTAATCTTTATTTTCCAAACTAGTCTTTCAACCCAAGAAAATCGACAACCTATGCATGAGCAATAAATCTGCAGGCCAAATTTATTGCCATTGTAACCTCCAAACTAACTATCTGTAAGCACCTCTTTCGTCCTTTTTCTCATCGTCAATTTTCTTTTTTTTGCAATCGTAAACTGATGAGATGATATTCTCAAAAACTCAGATTCGACACGATGTTCCTTCGACGATCCTCAGCCTTTTGCCAAATATTCTATCTGTACATCGTTTTCGCTGCTCTCCTCGGTGTGTCTCTGGTAACCAGTAGTCCCTTGGTCGCTGTGCCTCATTTGCTTGAACGGAGTGGGGGAGATCAACCCAAAATTACACGTCCACGTCAGGAGATGAAGCAACACTTCTTGTCAGCTGCAGCCCTGATACGTAGTTTTACAGAAACCTCCAAAAATGGTGATCTGGTCATCAGGCTTGGATGCAGAGAACCAGGTCAAGAGGAAAAATACATGGTCGCAAACGTTAGAATCATGAGTCTCCTTAAAAAAGACCTAAAATTCACCATTTTCTTTGGCACCATCGTTGGCTTCAGCGCTTCCAACGTGACCGTTCCCGGCGACTCGCACTCTAAAAAGGTCATTGTTGAACAGTCAGACATTCCGCGCTCTGATGTCTCCGAAACTGCGCAAAGTCACCACACTCCGAGAATCGACCAGGGTCGCTTGATCAAATTGGGTCCGGGCCGGGATTCAAGCCTTGTAGCTCACTTCGACCGCAACAATGCCGCGAAGAAACAATTGGTCAATACGTTTGGTGACGCTGACAAGTTGCTCTCGCACACCCAGGCCATGTTCCTCGAAGAGTACGGGTTCTCATGGGCTCATATTTTGGTTATCAATGATGACCTGGACTATATCACTGTTGCCCTGATTTGCATGCAAATGATGAAGGGCCCAGAGGGACAAGTATTGGCTCAGGGTGTTTTGGGGGAATGGCTCAAAATATACCTGGCCATGAAAGCTCTGAGGGGATCAGATAGCAGTCAATATGTTATGGCTGTAGAATGGTTGCTTGAAGGTAAATATCATCATGTAGCAGAGTCTGAACAGACTCCAACACAGTAGCGTTCGAGGTAGGACGTATTTCATAGCTAGTCTACAGTAGTCTACGGATCGCGTACAATGGTCAAATAGGTGAATAATATTGGATTTTTTTCCATTTACTTGCTTTCTATCCATCTCCGATTAGCGTAAGGCGGCCTAAGAGGAGGTTCAAAAGAAAACTCAAAAGACCAAGAAAGAAAGAAAATCCCCGAGAACCAAAACATCACCCGCTAATCAAGAGGCCCTATCCGTATTGTCCTTCTCATTTATATTTACATCTCCATTTCAACCCGTCTGAGAAATATGAGAGGGGACAAAGGCACCGAAAGAAAACGAACGTCCGTCCTCACTTACCGTGTATGTTACTTACATATATTCCTTTGCATGTTCGGTCTCTCCAGCAACTTGGGGTGATGTCCTCCTTCTCCTTCTCCCTCTTCTTCCCAGTCAGAATCCACGTGTTCCACTGTTCGTTAATTCCACTCCTCTCTCACCATCCTAAGTCCCATTCCGAAGATCCAGAGACCACTTCGCATTCGCACTGTTTCCTTCCCCAGCCATTGTCCAAGTGCTCGTTCTCGTCGCCTTTAGTAATAACACTAATATTAATGGAGCTTCATCGTCATGTCCATACTGGTCCTGTTCATTTCCGCCTCCTCTGCATGCTTACCGTACCCAGAAACATTCACATCCTCACATGCATACTCTTCTTCCGGGTTCCAATCCGCAGACATATTCCATACTCTTATGTTCTCTCCCCTCCTCGTTGACCAAGATCTCTGATGTAGGCCATAAGGGACCCACCCGTTCCTGAATCCTTCGTTTGAACATTCTACATAAGCCTACGCATCCGAGACACGACCGTCTCATAGACAGTAAGCTCCACGATAAGAAACCACAGTACGGATCATCATAACGTGTAATGGACAAACAACTTCTGGCCTGGGTAAGTGTAAGCCTGTTGGGATAATCCCGGGCATTGACGAGGTAGATCCTCCATATATCACGCTCGCGCTAGATGGTCCAGTTGCTCTTAGAAGACAAAGGAGGATCTGGCGGAGATGCAGGAGGATCTATGGGAGAAAGTAGAAGAAATCCCTGCGACGAATGCCTCCTCCGGCGAATCCGCATCTTTCACCAATTTGATCACAGAACCATCGTACTGTTCTACAGCCACGATCAATAGCTCAATCCAACCTCCACAAGCTTAGGCGACCTCTGGTTCGTACCAGAATTCTTCAACTCGGAGGAATGATTCACGGAGGTCTTCCATACTGAATTTCACGATATTGCCGATTGATTGGAGGGGAAGAGGCTTCTGGGCGGATGGAGGTTGCAGGAGGCGGTGAGCGATAGGAGTGGAGAGTTTAGGCAAGTGAGGAGGAGTCGGAGGAGTCGTTAACGGTGATGAAGATGATTGCTGTAACTGGGGTAACATTCCTTGAACGACTGTCCTAGCCTTTTTCTCAATCACATCTCGATCCACAACATCGATTCTCGTGAATATCACCACCAGCAACGCCCCACCCACCTCTGTATCTCTTCCCCACTCATCTGCATCCTGCGCCCGGCCGATATCACTGACGTCGACAGTATACCCCATTGCACTGCCTCCTCGCAGTATTCATGGAAATCCTCTGGAGTCCATTCAAATTTGCATGAATTATCCGTTAGTGCCTCTTAGAGGTCAAATATCTATATGAAGAGCGATACAATCGAAGTCCTCAGTGTTGAACCAACAAAGTACTAAGTAGAAACTGAGGGATGAACGTGCGAAAAAGAATATAAGTAAGTGAAGTCACGTGAGTCCGGAATGAATCGGCAGTAATAGGGAAAGTATCTCCCAACAGTGCCGTTTGGAGACCCCTTCGGTATCGCGTTGCTACCTGCTCTCCTGTCTACCTCACATTGGCTTAAATGTTGAATGAAATCTCAGTTGATAAGGAAAACAACTGTATAGCATTTCTATGTACCTGTTGAATGAAATCTATAGTACTTTAGTAAAGCTAGATGAAGGAAAGAAAAATAAGTAATCTCACCTCAGTTGATAAGGAAAACAACTAAGGGAGTTCAAACGGCAGTATCAAGTATATAAGGTGATTGAGTAGTAAATAGGAGTGGTCAAGTTCGGTGGCCGGAATAATAGTCACACGTACCAAAGCAAGCATACAAAGTATTAATCCAACACCCCCCCTACTGCGTATGCTGAAGGTAAAGCATCTGAATTATTCGGGCATGGATAGGTCCTGAAAGAGCTTTTGTCGTAATATCGGCAACATTCTCACCGCTACGGATCCGAACAATCTTCACGCTGTCATCTTTAACCTTCTCCCTGATGTAGTGCTCATGCATGTCGATGTGTTTGATCAAGGAATGATTCCTGGGCTCCTCCGTTAGTGATACTGAACCGAAATTATCCCCATGAATAATCGTAGGACCATTGAGTGGAAGATCAATCTCCTGAATGAATGAGCGTAGCCAGCACGCCTGTTGACAGGTTTTCGAGAGACCAATATATTCTGCTTCAACTGTAGATAGAGCCACGGATCCCTGTCTCTTTGATGCCCAAGACACCGGAGCACCACCCATGAAGAATACATAGCCTGCAGTGGATCGACGAGTTACTAAGCACGAAGCCCAATCGCTGTCCGAGTATCCGAAAGGAGCAAGGCCAAAGCCAAGGCGTTCATCACCAGGCTTAGGAGCTCGATAGGTGATAGAGTAATCGATAGTCCCCCAAATATAACCTGCTAGCCATTCGCAAGCCTTCCAATGAATAATACCGGGGTTAAGTTGGAATCGAGTGAGGAAATTCGACGCAAATGCAATATCCGGCCTTGTCGAACAAGCACCCCAGAGTAGGGATCCTATGAACGAACGGTAAGGTTTGTTCGACATGAACCTGCGGTCATCTTCGGGTAGTGGATTGGGAGATTCAGTGACTTTCATCTTAGGATCTAATGGGGTGTGTCGGATACGGACCATTTCCAATCCGAAATGTTCCAGCATACGTTCGAAATATGCCTTTTGCAATATAGTAATGGATTTAGAAATCGGGTCTTGAAAAATTGTCATTCCTAGGAGTACGCCCGAATTAACCTCACTCGATTCCCATCTTTTTCCTAGATCAGCAATAGCCTTCTTCCTACCGCTTTCTGTTGAAGAAGCCCCATTCACATCGTCGCCATATGTAGTAGACAGAGTGTATTTATCGTCGATTCGACGGTAACGTACACAGGGATCGGCTCTCGAAGCAATATATCCATCCTCCTCGTATCCTTTGCCTAAGGTGTCCTGCCAGTCGTGGCTACCTTGCATAGTCCCATAGATTGATTTGTTGAGCTTGCACACTTTATGTTCTTCACCCTCCTTGACAAATCCCTCAGGCTGCTTCATATACACATCGTGATTGATAGGCGAGTTAAGGAAAGCAGCTTTGAAGTCAACCTGGAACATGAAAAGGCCTAGGACTGCGATAATCGCAAGGACTATACAAATGGACTCCATACGTGCCACAGCACCGTAAGTCTTGTCGTAATCAATCCCTTCAATCTGCGTAAAGCCTTGTGCTACATAACGTGCTTTTCATTTTGCTACCTCGCGATCTTTCGACCATTTGATGGCATAGACCCATCTCCCGCCTGTAAGATTCGCATTCGGAGGTAGGTCCACCAATGTCCAACAGTCCTTTTCGATTAACGTGTCGTATTCAGCCTGCATCGGGGCTTGCCAAAGTTCGGGACGCTGCATCGCCTGTTTGTATGTGTTCGGGACCCATTTATCACTCAATTCAGCAGCGAAAGCAAAAGGACTCTTTGCAATCATCGCTAGAGAATTCTCTTCAAGTTCGTCTATACCCGTATCGGAGTCCTGGGCCCAAGCCAGGTTTCGTTCGAAAGCACTATGCTCCCGTTCAGCCGACTCCTGAAGCTGTAGTTGACGAGCTGATGGTCCACGGATACGAGTACTGCGTCTAGGACCAATGTCTTGTTCATGAATGGGCTGAATAGGTATTGGTACGTGCTGAAGAGGCTGAGGTGCAAATAATTCTGGAAGTCCTTCATAATCAGGAGTAGACGGAGTAGCAGGCATTGAGGGAACAGAAATATCTGAATGCTGAATTTGATTTTCGCTAGCTGGTGCAACAGGCACGGCATCTGGAGCCGAACCGACGTCGACATCACCAAGCATCTCACCATCAACTTCATCTGGTACCACGGGGGTAGATCTACGAGGGTCGCCCTCCTCAAATTCGACACTGCGGGATTCATGGAAAGTTCTGGTCTGTGGTAGCCAGATTCGATAGCCCCGTCTTCCAATATAACCAACAAATCGACCTTCGACTGCTCTAACGCCAAGTTTTCCATCCGTTTGGATTGCATCAAGTGTCGCCCAGCACTTACAACCAAAAGGTCGGAGATGAGAGACATCGTGACGTTTCTTTGTATAAATTTCAATTGGTATTTCATCTGGGAAACGAGAGGAGGGGATAAACACGTTCACATAGCAGAAGGTAAGTGCTGCTTCAGCCCACATTGAGGGAGGAAAACCAGCGTCGACAAGAAAAGTTCTGTTTGCTCTCTCAGCTACTCCATTAGGTGACGAAGATCTAGGTGGTATCATTTCGATAGCGATACCGTTTTCGAGACAGTAATCCCTAAACCACCCATTATCGAATTCTCCACCACCATCTATCCGGAATATCAAGACGTTCAAGTCCGTTTGTCGCTCAGCCATCATACGCCAGTTGTGGATTGCTGTCAAAATGGTTTCCTTTCGCTTATTGGTTAGAAATGTCGGGGCCTTGATAGAGGAACGACCATCCATTGCAAGAAACATCCATGTAGCCCTGCCGATACTCTGTGTTCGAGTTGGACCAAAAAGGTCCAGGTGTATACATTCAAGAACCTTGGTTTTGTGTGTAAGCTTCTCATCGAACGGTCGGTGAGTTGCTTTGCCAAAAATACATGGTTCACATTTACCGGCCACTTTCTTAGAAGTGATTTGCAAGCCATCGACTAGATTTAGTTTGTGCATTTGGAGGATTCGATCAATAGCGGGATGCCCAAGTCTGCGATGCCACGTATGGATGTCGACGGGTTTATTATGTGATCTCGTGAAGTTTGCGAATGAGGGCTCGAAGTGAGCTTGTACCTCATACATCGTTCCCTTTCCTTCGCCTTGCATAACGATACTTCCATTTGCAGTTCGTACAGTGAGTGATCCTCTACCCCATTCCCCTTTCATTCCTTTAGCATCTAATGTCCTTAATGAAATTAGATTGTGATGAAAGGATGGTGTATGGTAGACGTTGTTCAATTGGCATTTCCTCCTTATCCCATTAACGGCCGTCTCGAATTCTACGATACCTTTGCCATGAATCTCAAACTCCCCTGCCTTTCCAGCAATGGCTGATTTCCCCGCCTTTCCGTATAAATTCTCATACTCAATAAAGTCAGCTCTTCAAACCCAGAAGTGATCACTCGCAGCTGAGTCGAGAAAAGTTTGGGGTGTCTGAGGTTTGGATGCAGCATATAGGAAAGATTTCGCATTATGGGCTGAACAAGCAGTATATTCATCAAAGTTTGGAATCGAGTCGGAAATGGAGGAATTAAACGTGTCTACATGGTATGTAACCTCTTTATCTGCACCATACCCTGTTGATACTGATTCACAGTCTCTGCAGGTATGGGCATTAGGAAGTTGGGTAGATAGAATGGGTGTTGGTGACGATGTACACAAATCAAAAAGTTCCATGATGGTGCGATTTCCACCGTCACTAGCGTAATTTGCGGTTTGAGTTGCTGAGGCTTTGGCTTTCTTAGGTCCCCCCCCTTCATTACCGCCACCGGGTGCCCAACATTTGTCAACCGTATGAGTACGACGTCGACAAGGAGGGCAATTAGGATTTGTACACATAGGGTGATCCTTCTTGGGAGCAGATGCAGTATTTGCAGAGTGGAAAGAAGCCATTTCCTGAGCAATGAGAGCCCGGACCTGACTACGCTGTCGGGTATCCTCCTCGTCTTCCTTCTTGTTGTCATAGACTTGGCGAAGGTGAATGAAGGCATTGTCACCCGAGATTCCCTTGACATTGATTAAGAGATCTCTCCATGATTTAGGCATCAAGGCGATTACAATGAGATGGAATTGGGAGTCGAGGCAAGAACCACCCAAGTTTCGGAGTTCCTTAAGGTGATTTTTCATTGTCTTTTCATGCTCTTCAATCGTCGTATTACTGGGGTCAAATCGAGCCGACCGAAGTTTGGTATCGGCCTGATGTACCCGCATCTCGTCTCGTCTCTCATATTTCTTCTTTAATTCAGCCCAGATATGATACGCAGGCTTTTCGCATTCGACACCTAGCCCAACGGGATCAACAATGTTGAGATATATAATGCTGGCTGCCATCCTATCGCGTTGACGCCATTCATGTGGGAAAGGGGTAGGGCTAAATGCTGGTGTTGTTGTAGAGGCAGGAGGGTACAACGTAGATGTAGAGACATAGCCACCAGCAGAAGGTCGAATAATGGTACCATCAAGATATCCTTCCAATTCCCTAACTTCAATGTGCGCGAGGACTTGGTCTTTGAAAATTCGCCA